ACATGTGAAATGGATGCAAATACTGCTTCAATATTTGCTGCGTTTTGGCGATTGATATTGCTATGTGTAAACAGAAAATGGAAAAATGTTACTTTGCAAGCAGAAATGTTAACAAATTTTAGATGTTCCTAAACATTTTTTCACAATATCAAAGACACGTTTTACTTGTTTTCACTAATCCAAATCAGCAGAAAATGTTTTAAAAGACTGAAATCATAGGAATGATTATTTTACAATATATCACATTCTACAACAGTTGTTTCTTGTTTTAAGAGTTGAAAAATGCTGACTTTAAGTGGTTTATCTCTGTCTCACACCAGAATTTTATTTCAACCTTCTTTTGGACATATAATTCACTGTTATTGGTTTATTTCGGCATGGACGAATATAGGAAATTTAACTCTTCTGAAAAAATGCATTCACCTAAATATGAATGCATTTGAAAATTTTGTTTCGTGATTCGCATAAAACTGTGTTGTTAAACTTTCTTGTATACTAATACCTTCTAACACATCTTTGATAGTTTTTCAGTAATTCAAACAGGTAGGAGGGTAACGTTTCTTTTGGCGTTTAGTTTATGTTAACCAAGCGAGTCTGACCAACGGGTACCCGATCCCGTTAGTCTCCTCTTACGACAGGCATGAGTTACTGAAGACCAGTTCTAACCTGGACTCTCCAACAAAAGTTGCGGTCCAAGAGATATATATGTTAAAACCAAGTATTACAACAATTCTGTTGTTAATCGTCATGATTTTCACAAACATGTAATTTACTTCGTCTGGTTTACTATTTGCGTGTAAACGCCTTGGGACTATTTTTTTGCTGGAAACAGATTATAGGGCATTGGTAGTACGGTGAATGTTTCACAGTATTGGAATATCAGACAATAGAACAGGCACCAACAACCACCAAATATAGAATCTACTCCGTTTCACAACTCCCAGGTCAATGCCAAGAGTACCGATTCATTATCTATTCCTTGCTGGGCGTGGTGTTTTCTGGCTCATGAACGTCAAGCCAACCTTCCGACCTCGTGACAGATTTGGCGGTGGATCAGACTCCAAACTGATCAGTGATGGGTCACTTGGCAGTAGTATCAGGGGGAAAGTGCTGACACCATCTGTTCTCCTGTGTGAAATGTGTTTGGGCTGACGTATTGTCATTGAGCACGACATCGACGGCACTGACCGCGCAAGGTCGTCAATGTTCAGCACAACGTCCATGGAATATCATCGCCATTCCCCAACTCGGGAAGACTCATACCCAAATGTTTGACAAATTGTGGTGGGTTTCGAAGTACTGAAATACTGATCCCCAAACCTCAAGTTTGAAATTCCCATCCTACCCATACCATATTCTACATCTATAACAGTCGAAACATCTACTATCATACTTCACTACTGACTGAAATATTTATTCGTTCATTTATGTCTTGCAATCGTTAGCAGGAGCTAATATTAGGTAATTTCCGAGAATATCCTACTATACAAACTAATGGTGGAAAGATGTGCTGGAACACTATAAGTTGATAAGATGCATTCTGACGTAGCTGACGTAAGTAAAACAATGTAATTTACGTGCAGATCGTTCTTCAGCAGCATAAGGGTATAAAAACCCTAAAACATCGATATTTAGTATCGGATGTTACACCTCAACACATCGATGCTGCTGAGAGTATCATCATGATCAAGGACATACAACTGTCGCTCTTGTACAGATGGAGCGTGTTTTAACCTTTAAGCTTCATCAGGTCACGTGGTGATTGCCCCTGATAGAGAAACGACACAGGGTGTTTTTGTCAGAATGTCCAGTAACATCTTTCGATGACTAATAGTAAATAGGACCCAAAATTCGTCCATGCATTATTAATCGGATTAAAAATAACTAAAAATTATTTATAAAACCCGTTTATATATGGTCGATAAATTGTGAAATACTGATGTGGTACACATGAAGATCACATGACAAAATACCACTTACGTAATGTTTCAAACATGCAACGTAAAATATAACATTCACAATAAAGATAACACATCTATAAAAAAATCTTGTAGGAGCTTAATTTTGCCCAGGTGCTAAGTGAGTGAGTGAGTGAGTGAGTGAGTTTTCTTTAACGTTACAATCAGCAATATCGCAACTACATGAAGGCGGTCAGTAAACCAGTGGCCCATGCTGTCGATAAACGACACTTAATTTGAAACATATGTCCAGATCCTGTCTGTGTCATGAAGACTCCTGCAACCCGTGAAGATCTGGATTAGAATTGATCTTCAGTAACCCATGCTTGTCGTAAGAGGCGACTAACATGATCGGGTGGTCAGGATCGCTGGCTTAGTTGACACATGTCATCGTATCCCACTTGCGTAGATCGATGCTCATGCTTTGACCACTGGATTGTCTGGTCCAGACTGGATTATTTTCAGACCGCCGCTGGAATATTGCTGAGTGCGGCGTAAAAGTAAACTCACTCACTCATGAAGAATTCCTCACAGAGAAGAAACTGTTGCCTGCACTCCATCTACCGCTATCAGTGGGAGTTTACGCTGGCAGCAACAGATGGGCGAAGGTATGCCCTGCCCTGTCATTGTGTCATTGTGCTGTAACCAGAGCCGTTGTTGTGTCAGTGTAACATGCACCTGGACATATGATTAAACTCAACTATAATGAACATGTGATTACGTGAATATCACATATATTGATCTCAGTGCGAAAAAATCAAACTTTTGTTAAGCAGTTGGTAAAAGCTGAACATGATGTCATTGAAGCTGCCAGAGAATAGACACACTGAGGACATCATTTGAAAGTAATTTAATCAGTTCATATTCTTTGAAAATACCTGGCAGGTGTCAGATCCCTGAATGTTGACACTGCCAACTTACAACCAGCCTTCGAACACCCTAGGAACTAAATGATATTATCACAATCGAGTGAGTGAGTGAGTATGGTTTTGCGCCGCTTTTAGCAATTCTCAGCAACATCACGGCGGAGGACACCAGACATTGGCTTCACCCATAGTACCCATATGGGGAATCGAACCCGGGCCTTCGGTGTGATGAGCGGACGCTTTAACCACTGAGCTACCTCACCGCCCGTTATCACATTCGGAAGAATTGGAGAAAACGTCTTTAGTTACTATCCGTGTATGTCTCAGCCACTGTACAATGAGATAAATATTGTGCACGTATTGTCAGCAAAGCACCAAAGTTCTCAAGCATGACCCCTATTCTAAATCAGTTACACTGGTTGCCCATAAGAGCAAGAGTGAACTTTAAAGTTTTAACCCTTGTCTACCAGTGCATACTAGGCACTGCTCCGGCTTATCTCAAAAACTGTTCAAACCATATCTTCCATGCAGACAGCTTCGCTCCAGTGACAAAAACTTACTTCACATTAAAAAATGGAAGTTGAAATCCTTTGGTTTTCGCTCATTTCAAGTGGCGGCCGCGATGAACTGGAATGAGCTACCAGCTCACCTTAGAACAAGCCCAACAGTCACATGTTTCAAAGCAAACCTAAAGACATACCTTTTCTCTATGTTTTACAAGTGACTCCTAAATCCTATCTTGTCTGCGCTATGAGCATGCTGTCGGTGTGGATTTAGCGCAATATAAATGGACTAATTATTATTATTATTATTATTATTAAGTACACAAAGCGCGAGGAAATGTATGTCCGACCAACGGGTGTTATTAAGCTCTGGACAAGTGAAACATATTCATTGCTTCAGGATGGTCAATATATGCCCAGTTTCAAACGCCATTGAACATGCATAACATGATCATCATACGGATGTCTCCATGGTAATTATATATAAATATTCCCACGCTAAAGTATTGTATCGATCATTTTTTATGAACCTTTTTTTAACCTACGACAGCTCCGAGTATGGACCCAGGGATTACAATCACCTATATATCAAAAGCAAAGGTATAACTTACCGCTGGTTTGTGATTGGTTACTGGAAAAGCCTAAAGTATTTTTTAACAGTTGTATCTTAAGGTCAGGAAGATTTGCTAAAATATTCTAAGAGAGCTTGTGATATAAATCCACCAGGCTAAACAAACAAATACTAGTAAATCAAAGGTATCAATATGCCCGATACATCAGCCAAAATGGTTCTTTCCAAATTATTTTCATTTTTTTAGGGGTATTGATGTACAGTTATAGTTGCATCACAAGTAGTTGTGCATCATTTCGGCGGCACCAGTATAGACCTGGCATATAGCGACACTATGGTGGGTGCTTACCCTCTCTGTGCAACACTAACACAGAACCCAATATTTTATTGCTCGTCAACCGTTTCCACAGCAAGATGAAGCATGAGGGCAAGGGGTACTTATTGACTACTCATAATGTCTGAGGGGTATTGTCTGCAGGTCGTCTTCACGACACTCGCGTGACTTCTGGCAAGGCTTTCATTTTTAACTTCTACAGCGATTGTCGATAGCCTCACCTATCGATATAGTGATGTTCGGTCACAAAACAATATTGTATTGCAATATACTGTTGTTACGATTAACCGTTACAAACCAACCTTATAGTGACATTCATTTGACAGATTTGGGGCGTCGATTAGATATAGTTACACACGTCTCAGTTGTGTGAGTTCCTTAGAACAAATCTGTACATTCTATTTTAATTTCAAGGAAAGGCATATGTTACGTACTACAGCTGATTTCAATCAGGTTGTGTCATCCCTGGAATGTTATGGTCGACATACGACAAGGAATGCGTCACGTGCTTACATGCTATGAAGTCCTTTGAAATTTACACGGAGGTTCCACACATCTTAACCATCCTGATCAACTCAATAGTGGCGGGTGATAACCCTTATGTGAACAGTTGGGTATTCCAGTAATTTACATCACTATTTTGTCTATAACGACATATGGAATCTGTTCCAGTAGGCTATTCTCCTGATGTTTATAATTTACAGCATCACTAAACCTGAACAATTAGGATGAAATACTTTATAGGGTCATTCGGTGAAACATACTTACCTTAGCCACAAATGAGTAATCTGGGTTTTCCATTGTGAGCCAGATGACCTGTTTGAGGGAGGTCTCCTTCGTATACATCAGATCTATGTCTTCCTTGAAGATCTCCTGGATCTTCTTCTGCACTTCCTTGTCGTGGACGTAGATGGAGAAGGACTTCCAGCAGCAGTCGGCCACCATGTCCTCGGGGACGCCCCAGAACTCCATCTCCCGCCTGATGGCCACGGTACACATGTTACTAGGGATGTGGAACTCCCCCGTCCGGTACAAGTCCAGCACACAGTGCATGATGCTGGGGTTCCTGTCGAAGTAGAACTCAGCCGTACTGCTGTCATATTCCTCTGACGAAGTTGACAACGTTGCCAGTCTTGTCGTTGGAAACCTCTGGAGCAGAGATCGCCGGATACAGAACTTCTTCCCAGCAACATTAATTACACATTTTTCTATGGCTTGGCCAGACATGGTGGTGTTGGTTGTAGGAACATAACTTTCCCTGTTAGTAAACTTGTAGGTTATTTATATAGTCCCTATGTTAATGAGCTTTTCCACATTACCGGAGAGTTGTGGCTTCACGCTGGTTGAATCAGGCCATCTACATGCGACACCTACTGCAGCACGGCAGCATATGCGAGCTGATCTCATACACAGTATTGATCCTGCCTATACTGTACACAATGTCAACTTGCCTATTGGCCTCCACAATGAGTGAAATGAGAGACTACTCAACGTTCAATACATATAATTTTCTGCCTAAGTGAATGAAAGGCGTGTCAGGCAATGATCGCCACAGTAAAAAAACATATTTAATGACCCCTCACTGGTCACTCCCCTGAAGGAGTCCATCTCAGTTGTCATGACACCCGTTAAACTGGCGCTGCTAGGTATTGATACATAGTACCACCTACTGGTATCACATGTACCCGAGGGGGCTATTGTAACCAATGCTGTGGTCAGTAGGGTGCTGTTTATGGGAATTGTCAACTGAACGTATTTTAATGAACTTGTCAGTGAAATACTGATAAATACCATTTCATAGACGACATGGTTTTATCTCGTCCTGTATCTATGTATTATGTATATTACACGTTACCGGAACATGCTAGATTTCGTAACGTGACTATTTCTTCTGATTTGTGTAGGAATTAACATGTGGAGACGGCTGTCTTCTAAATGTAGACACTGTGTCGAGTATGGAGGAGTATGAACAGTGCTACGGTCAAGTATACATCAAATATATGTGCCATATTCGCCATAAAAACAAGGACAAATGTTTGCAAAACACTCTTGTAAAAAGATATCAGACAATCACGGTCATCAGTCAGAAAATAAAGGACGCCAGATGTCGCTACAGTTTGTTCAACACACAGATCTAATCAGATTTTTATGTATACATGGTGTATGATACTAGTTACATATGGCGTCATTCATGTTTTAACTATCAACGCGTATGTTATGTTTCGGGAAATCTTAATTTTGCATTAAAACGTCATTTCTTTTTGTGTCACGATGGGGGGCAAATCTTGCAAATGAGTCAAGTGATAATAACGTTTCAATGAACATTGCCACGCCAGGAACGAGAAAAGCACCACAAGAACATTTCTCCCTGTTACGAAACGTTTCCCTGTCGTGTCAAACACACTTGTTGATCATACAGAGAATCTTACTAATTCATTGTTCCACAGCCAAATTACCTGATGAGGTGAACTACAACATGCCCGTCCTGGTCAAAGGAGCGGATCCTGTAGTGAACGACAACATACTCGTCCTGATCAAGGGAGCGGATCTTGTAGTGAACTAAACATCCCCGTCCTGGTCAAGGGAGCGGACCCTGTAGTGAACTACAACGTCCCCGTCCTGTACAGGGGAGCAGATCCTGTAGTGAACTACAACGTCCCCGTCCTGAACAGGGGAGCAGATCATGTAGTGAACTACAACGTCCCCGTCCTGTACAGGGGAGCAGATCCTGTAGTGAACTACAACATCCCCGTCCTGTACAGAAGAGCAGATCCTGTAGTGAACCACAACGTCCCTGTCCTGTACAGGGGAGCGGATCCTGTAGTGAGCTACAACGTTCCCGTCCTGTACAGGGGAGCGGATCCTGTAGTGAACTACAACGTCCCCGTCCTGTACGTGGTAGAGGATCCTGTAGTGAACTACAACATACCCGTCCTGGTCAAGGGAGCGGATCCTGTAGTGAACTATAACATCCCCGTCTTCTACAGGGGAGCGGATCCTGTAGTGAACTATAACATCCCCGTCCTCTACAGGGGAGCGGATCCTGTAGTGAACTAAACATCCCCGTCCTGGTGAAGGGAGCGGATCCTTTAGTGAACTAAACATTCCCGTCCTGGTCAAGGGTGCGGATCCAGGAGTGAACTACAACATCCCCGTCCTGTACATGGTAGAGGATCCTATAGTGAACTATAGCGTCCCCCTCCAGTACAGGGGAGAGGATCCTGTAGTGAACTATAGCGTCCCCGTCCTGTACCTGGTAAAGGATCCTGTAGTGAACTACAACATCCTCGTCCTGTACAGGGGAGAGGATCCTGTAGTGAACTACAACATCCCCGTCCTGTACAGGGGAGCGGATCCTGTAGTGAACTACAACGTCCCCGTCCTGTACAGGGGAGAGGATCCTGTAGTGAACTACAACATCCCCGTCCTGTACATGGTAGATGATCCTATAGTGAACTACAACATCCCCATCCAGTACAGGGGAGCGGATCCTGTAGTGAACTACAACGTCCCCGTCCTGAACATGGTAGAGGATCCTGTAGTGAACTACAACATCCCCGTCCTGTACAGGGGAGCGGATCCTGTAGTGAACTACAACGTCCCCGTCCTGTACCTGGTAGAGGATCCTGTAGTGAACCACAACATCCCCGTTCTGTACAGGGGAGCGGATCTTGTAGTGAACTACAACATCCCCGTCCTGGTCAAGGGAGCGGATCCTGTAGTGAACTAAACATCCCCGTCCTGGTCAAGGGAGCGGATCCTGTAGTGAACTATAACATCCCCGTCCTCTACAGGGGAGCGGATCCTGTAGTGAACTACAATGTCCCCGTCCAGCACAGGGGAGAGGTTCCTGGAGTGAACTACAACGTCCCCGTCCTGTACAGGGGAGCGGATCCTGTAGTGAACTACAACGTCCCCGTCCTGTACCTGATAGAGGATCCTGTAATGAACTACAACATCCCCGTCCTGTACAGGGGAGCGGATCCTGTAGTGAAGTACAACATACCCGTCCCGTACAAGGGAGAGGATCCTGTAGTGGACTACTACATCCCCGTCCTGTACCTGGTAGAGGATCCTGTAGTGAACTACAACGTCCCCGTCCTGTACATGGTAGAGGATCCTGTAGTGAACTACTACATCCCCGTCCTGTACAGGGGAGCGGATCCTGTAGTGAACTACAACGTCCCCGTCCTGTACCTGGTAGAGGATCCTGTAGTGAACTACAACGTCCCCGTTCTGTACAGGGGAGCGGATCTTGTAGTGAACTACAACATCCCCGTCCTGCACAGGGGAGTGGATCCTTTAGTGAACTATAACGTCCCCGTCCTGTACAGGGGAGAGGATCCTGTAGTGACCTACAACATCCCCGTCCTGTACAGGGGAGTCGATCCTTTAGTGAACTATAACGTCCCCGTCCTGTACAGGGGAGCGGATCCTGTAGTGAACTACAACGTCCCCGTCCTGTACAGGGGAGCGGATCCTGTAGTGAACTATAACGTCCCCGTCCTGTACTGGGGAGCGGATCCTGTAGTGAACTACAACATCCCCGTCCTGTACAGGGGAGAGGATCCTGTAGTGAACTATAATGTCCCCTTTCTGTACAGGGGAGCAGATCCTGTAGTGAACTACAACGTCCCCGTCCTGTACAGGGGAGCAGATCCTGTAGTGAACTATAATGTCCCCGTCCTGTACAGGGGAGCGGATCCTGTAGTGAACTACAACGTCCCTGTTCTGATGTCACAGTCTCCCTCACACGGGCATGGTGCTTTAACATACACCAGCGGTCGACAACACCAGCACCGATCACTAACTCTACATTGGCCCACATTAATTATGAACACTTTTTATATGTTTACCGCACAAATCAATAAAAAACAATCCTTTTAAGACAAGTACATGATGTTGGCACAAACGTTTCGTAACTGTGCTGTTTTGTTGACCAAAAGTAAAGAGACAGGCAGATAACGTGTGGAGATAAAATCATAGTTTCCACATGACAAGAACCAAACAAAGCAATGCCAGAATACCTCTGAAATTGTCAGCAGAGACATGGAAAACAATGGTGCATAACTGGTATAACAATGGATGGGTGACCGTGTTTGGCAACTTGACCCCTGAGAGTTTCTAGTTTCCTGCCCCACAACGAAGCACATGTGGTCTCATCTTAGGCAGGAGTTTGTTCACCCTGCAGAAAATGGGTACCCGGTGGAATAGGTCATGTGACTATTACCCTTGTAGCGCCTAACTTGCAGCTTGGGTTATCAGGGTTGATAAATATCACATTGTGTGTTAGCGCTTTTAGTACGTGGTTTTGTACATGGAAAAGGCGCCTTATAAAGTCACAGTTGTTACTGTTATCATTAACGTTCAGCATTAAATAGGGATGTTGGGTGTGTTAGATGAGTATTAAGTCTCCAGCTACCTTACCCACGTTCCTGTGTCCGGCTGGCTACATATGATTCCTGCTGGGAACACCCTCGCGCTTCACCATCATCTGTCTAGACGTAAGCTGATTAGGATTTCACGAAGTGTTTAGGTCAAAGACACTGGAATATCCTTAATAAGAAAATCTTACGCACATATGCGACTTTAGGGCGTAAATATGTTTTCTTTCTCGTTAAGGGACAGTGTTCCTCGACATATTCCCAGAATTTGTCGAACTTCATAACAACCATAGTTTGATTAGAGCTTGTGACATGTTCAGACCTACATGGTCCCTAGAAAGGATGACACACTGTAGAGCAGTTTTTAAAAGGTTTAAAACGATCTGGCCATTGGTCAAGGTTTGGCAGACCACACCCTGTCCTCCTGCACTCAAATCAAGGAGTCGCTGAAGTAAATACCACAATAACGTGAAACAAAATGAGTGAAAAGTTAAACATATCATAACCATAACTCAGATGAGATGTAATCAGGAACGACTGTACAGTGGTTAACAAATGGTATATAATGAATACCCAACATAGGACTGGAAGGTGACTGAATGAGTTAATGTACTTAAAATAATTTACAAATTTGGAAAAGAGGAATTATAATGTAGATGTCATGCTAGGAACTTTGAAAACAGTTTGTAAAACACCATGAGGCAGGTAAACCAGTCTATCAGTTTTGTTGATGTATAGAATCCAGGAGAATCCCACTCACACAGATGTCTTTCTATTAGTTTCGTTGATGTATAGAATCCAAGAGAATCCCACTCACACAAATGTCTTTCTATCAGTTTTGTTGATGTATAGAATCCAAGAGAATCCCACTCACACAAATGTTTTCTATCAGTTTTGTTGATGTATAGAATCCAGGAGAATCCCACTCACACAAATGTCTTTCTATCAGTTTTGTTGATGTATAGAATCCAGGAGAATCCCACTCACACAAATGTCTTTCTATCAGTTTTGTTGATGTAAAGAATCCAAGAGAATCCCACTCTCACAAATGTCTTCCTAAGTTTTGTTGATGAGAATCCCATTCAAGAGAATCCCACTCCACACAAATGTCTTTCTATCAGTTTTGTTGATGTATAGAATTCAAGAGAATCCCCCTCTCACAAATGTCTTTCTATCAGTTTTATTGATGTATAGATCCAGGAGAATCCCACTCACACAAATGTCTTTCTATCAGTTTTGTTGATGTATAGAATCCAGGAGAATCCCACTCACACAAATGTCTTTCTATCAGTTTTGTTGATGTATAGAATCCAAGAGAATCCCACTCACACAAATGTCTTTCTATCAGTTTTGTTGATGTATAGAATCCAAGAGAATCCCACTCACACAAATGTCTTCCTATCAGTTTTGTTGATGTATAGAATCCAAGAGAATCCCACTCACACAAATGTCTTCTTATCAGTTTTGTTGATGTATAGAATCCAGGAGAATCCCACTCACACAAATGTCTTTCTATCAGTTTTGTTGATGTATAGAATTCAAGAGAATCCCGCTGATCCCGAGAATCCCGCTGTGCAGGTAAACATGGTCAGAGTAATATTCAAAATTTGTGTAAATGGCACGATAGACTTTCGAACAAGACAGAGCATTCTTAACGTTTCACAGTCAGTGATTAGCAGATTACAGGCACAATCGTGTGATGGTGAGCGTTTTCAAGCTCAGTAAAGGTGTGGGGTGGGATCGCTGTCACTGGCAGAACACCTTTACATGTTATTTACTGACTTGTCACTGGGCAGGACTACCGTGACAACATTCTGGAGGCACGGCTGCCATGCCGGGATGTGTGGTTCTGTGTTTCAGGATGACAACGCAAGAACACAGGGCTCCTATTGTTACTTACAACAACTACAAGCAGAACATAACTAACATACCATGGTACTCACTCCAGACTTGTCATTCACGAACATGTGCGGAATATCATTTGATGCGTCACCGTCAACAACAGCCGACCACTCTCAACGAACTTGGCGCTGCCCCGCAGGAAGAATCGGATAAAATGAACCAAACTGACATTGAACGTAGGATTGGTGCCTAGTCGAGTCCAGGGTTGTCTTGAGAATTGAGGCGGATTATTCAGTTTGACGTTTCATGGTACATGATGTGATGGACAGTGGTACGTTTTAGTCAGTCATCCAACCAAATCTGTTCTCATCTGAATTTCAGCGACTAATGCATATATGTTTCACTGTAAAACTATTTATCTCATTAAAATATGAAATACCAATAACTGTAACACCTTTTATTGAATATCTCTACGTTTTAAAATACTGTATGACCATGACACCTCCACACTTGTATCATGTATCACCTGTTCACAAATGAATAACGCAGTGAGATTATTCGAGTTAGTCAATCAATCTTTATTTCAATCTGAAAGGCCACATCCCTGCAGTACAATGATTAGTCATGTGCGGGTAATAGAACATTCTTTCTGAGAATAAAAGCTTTGTGAATATATGTAGATAATCTTTCTAAATGTATTTTACTGGAGTTATTCATCAATGATATAAACGTACGAGTTTCAGGATGTACATAATAATATTTCTTTATATATATCTATTTCTTAACGATAAGTACGCTGGGCAAACACATAAAAAGTGAAATTCATCTTCGACCTCGTTTAAGTTGCTCATTTGACAGATTCTATTTTCTGTTTTTTCGTTCTAGAGATTATTCCAGCTAGTCACTGTGAATACGTTGCAAACGTTTCAGTGTTCGAGTTTAGTTCAATCTCCAAGCATCCACTTTGGTCTGCAGCATTCCATGTTACCTCATCGTGATATGGGTTGAAATTCATGAAGATCCTACTAGTGAATCAGCTGGTATAGTGACCAACATTTACTGAAACGTGTCCACAACTGTTGCTTACAATCGTTACTAGTGCACCTCAAATCAATGGAAAAATGAAACGTACATTGATGTATTCGATGGTGTAGTCCTACATCTGGACTAGTCGAATATTACACATGTTACACATTCCAACAGCTGTTTAAGAGATGATTGTAATACGCAACATAAAATCAATCTACATTACATCATGTACCATACACTAATTGATAGTCAAACGATGTCTGATATTGATTTAAGGTATAAGTGGACGATTTGAGACTGCACATAAAACTCAGATGAACTTCTTGTCAGTCAATATGCATATTCGTTTCTAAATTATCTGTACAAGTGTCTTCAGCGCAGCACACCTGATGTATCCTCCACAATAACAAAACGTAAATGGGCAGTTCCGAATGGAGGTTGCATATGCGGTGTTGTTGATGTTTTACACCCTGTCGTATACACCCTAGAGGGAGGGGAATGCTCTGTAGTTGTACTCTGTATGGCCTTCCTTTTGTTTAAAAGCAGGAACAAACGTTTCAAAGATGTATCTCCCCTTTTTATACTCAGTACAATGTTCTTACAATGTCACATGGTTACATGAAATATTGATGTCACTACTAGTTATAAGAACATGGGTAAGAGTTGCCGACCTACATCCTATGAACAACGTTTATGTCTACAAAACATATAGTTTGCAGATGCCCCACATTGGAATCGTCTACATCAGATCATCTCCATGCTCGACGGTCACGTGCGTGCGTGAGTGAGTGAATTTTCTTTAACGATACAGTCAGCAACATTGCAGGTACATAAAGACGGCCAGTAAACCACTAGCCCATGCTATTGATAAACGACACATACGGGCTTCACACATGATCATCACGCTGCCAACAGAAGTCAATGGTGTACACAACGTCGACATTGGGGTTATCGTTGCTGGTCCCGTGTCATGTTTTCAGATGAATCCCGAATCACTTTGCACTTCCTTGAGAGGCGTGGTCGCAACGGCGGAATGTACAAGCCAATGTCGACCTCAGACTTCCACACTGGATAGGGTATGTTGTGAGTAGGAGCACAGTCACCAAACAAATCCTGCTCCGGACAACATACCGATACCCTTGGTGAACTGTTTGCGACGTGTGAGTGGTCGTTTTGTCAACCAGAATGACAGCATCGTGGTCATCATGACAGCATGACAGCATGACATCTTTAGCATGGCATGACCCAAACCTTTAGATCATGACATGATAGGGGGACATGTACGTCAACGTCAGAGGCTGGCCACCACTTTAGACTGGCGTGTAGGCGCTGCACGATGAGTGGGACAGGACGGGAGACTCATATGCAGTACATGTATATGTCTCGTCGAGTGAATGAATTCTTTGGAAATCATGGCGGTATATCGCACTACTAATTCCCAAGAGTCAACTGAACTCCTTTACTCACTATGTACAAGCAGCATCACTGAGAAACTCTTGTGTTTGGATATCAAGGAACAGCCCCCAGGACAGATTAGCTGAGGAAGATTTTATTGCACCCTGAAAGAGTATTGGCCGTAATGCAGATTTCGACATGTTTACATTCAACCCCTGTTGATGCAGATGTATTCATGAGTTCGCAAGTGATAATCAGGAACCAAGCAAGTCGTAGCACACCAAGAACACCCCTAGCTTCCCTATCTATGGATTGTATCCCAGGAGCAGTGTCTGGTACTTGCATCACTGCTCCTATTTTAATGTAGGACCACAATCTAGCAGCAGGACGGGGATTATGTCACCGAACATCACGAACGGACAGTTTAGGCTTGTGTTACTACCGTAACATCTGTACATGTACATTCCAGATCTTTAACGACTTCCACAGAAAACAGATGCCTTAGTGCACATACTTGACTCAAGTCAGTACTATTGCTATCGGAATATGTACAAGTATTACCAATATAATAATGTATACTATATCCACTTTCTGTGCTTGTATACGGCAGACATTTACCTGCTTCTACAGAAACAAAACCCCCTTGGAGCACTTACTTGACACACTCTAGTATTGCTTTCTAAATATGTGCACCTATTACCAAGATATTCATGTGTACCATATTCATCCTCTGTACATGTAAATGTCAGACCTTTAACAGTTTTCTGTATCTACAGATAAGGGACGTTTTAGTGCTTGATACACTGTAGTGCCATTTCCACTTGAACATGCATAACTATTACAACTACATTCATGTGTATTATATTCATATTCAATATCTGTACATCTATATGCCATGGGATGAATAAAAAGTTTATAAAAAAAACCTACCGTATCATCGTCACCCAAATATTTCAACATATCAGAATCTGAGTAGCTAATTAACACACTCCGTCTGTATACCTAGTGGCAGTGGATGAGGGGATATAGAGGAAGTAGCTCGAGATGCTGCGTCTACTTAAGACATACTCTTGATCTTTGCAGCCAAATAGTCTGCCTTGTATGAGTTGATGGTCAAGTTTACTATACTTAGTGTGTCATACCTGTGTATAGTCTGTAGGTGAACCTCTAATACTTAATTATATACTAGCCACATAAAGAAACTGTGCATTGTCAAAATATTATCCCAGTTGATAAGTACGATAACAATGTCAAAGGTACATATAAACTTTAATGGAGGGATCATGAGACCATGACAAGTCGTGAGAATTTCAATTGAAAAGTCAATCACAATGACGTCACGAGTCCATAAGCGGGACAGGGGTCAAACGACCATGTCACAAGCTCAATAACGGGTATCGGCATTGAGAACAGCAGTGCATCGACGACGCATAGAGCCTATCAAACGTGCAAGGAAGGCTTGTGGGATCTCACGCCAGATTCTCTCAAGTTCTGTTGCAAGGTCAAGGACGTTATCTGGCGGATGAGGAAGACGGCGCAGACGTCGATCCATCTCGTCCCAAACATGCTCTATCGGGGAGAGATCCGGTGAATTTGCAGGCAAGTCAACGTTGTGGTGTTGCAAGAAATCCATAGCAACCCTTGCCGTATGAGGGCGGGCATTGTCCTGTTGGAAGGTTAACCCAGGGCCATGACATTGCAGAAAAGGAATTGCCACAGGTCGAAGAATCTGATCCCTGTAGCCCACACCAGTTAAGTTGCCCTGAACAATCACCAAAAGGAGTTCTTTGGCGTGCAGTTATTCCACCCCAAATCATCACGGAACCACCACCAAAGCGATTCCTCTCCAAGACACAGGCCTGTGCATAACTTTCTCCCACGCGTCTGTAGGCACGTTGACGTCCATCACTATGGGAAATGTTAAACCTGGACTCATCTGTAAAAACAACATTTCTCCACCAAAACAAGGGTCTGCGGACATGATTTCGGCACCACATTCGGCGAGCTTGTCGATGAGGTTGTGTCAGGATAGGCCGTATGGCGGGACGTCGTGGTCTGATCCCGTGATGACGTAAACGTTGTCGAACTGTGTTGGGGTGGATACGGCGAAGTCCTGGGATGGTTCGGGCAGTCATCACTGCAGTCTGAAACCTGTGGCGAAGATGGCTCAACCTTATCCATCTGTCCTGTCTTGGCGTTGTTACACGTGGACTTCCAGAACGTGGCCGATCGATGACGTCATTTGTTTTCTGGTAGCGTCTCACCAGTGCAGAAATGGTGTTCCGGTGGCAGTGGAAATGTGCAGCCACTTGTCGTTGACACATTCCCCCACGGACCATCCCAATGGCCTCATGACGTTGTGCAGACGTGAGCCTTGGCATGCTATGCGTTTCAATAGCCGTTTAACTTGTTGAAGGATCGCAAGGGCAGGGGTTGAGCTTTCCAAAGTGACAGTATTGTGTCACATTCATTTGCTCTGTTTCTCTTTCCCGGAATGCACGTGCAATCAACGTTTTGCACGTCTCAAGGACGAAGCCACCGACGTCACGGAACGTGGCACGTGCATGCATGTTGGATACATGTCACTTATCTCTGGGTTTAAATCCTTATGTGTCTACACAGGTTTGATAAATTTAGATTTTAAATTTTTCTATGCACAGTTTCTTTATGTGCCTAGTATATATACCACAAAAATAGAATCGAATCGAACCTCTAATATTTAATTATATATACCACGAAAATCGAATATCCAGGTGAACAAAGTTCAAGAACAGACCGAAATACAAGAGCAGTAATCCCTGTAATTACCGTAATCCCTGTAATCCCCGGACTTTTCTCTGTTGAGCTGGATGCGAATATCCCAGTAAGACTGCCAAGCACGGTTAGAAGTCACTCTTATGAACAGCTTCCATCCAGAGGGGGTCGTCAAGAAGATTGAGACAGTTGACAGTGCGGTGGTAGCCCAGACGGATTTGGATCCACCAAGAATTAAATAGAATATACAAACAGTCAGAGATCAGAGTCGTTCAGCTGAGGCACCCCGAGGTAATAATCACCTGTGGTAACACAACATTGTTCTGTATGTAACAGGTAACACTCGTCTGTGGGTAACAGGTAACATCGTCTGTGGGTAACAGATAACGCTCGTCTGTGTGTGGCAAGTAACACTCGTATGTGGGTAACATGTAACACTCGCCTGTTGGTAACATGTAACACTCGTCTGTGGGTAACAGGTAACACTCATCTGTGTGAAGCAGGTAACACTCGCCTGTTGGTAACATGTAACACTCGTCTGTGGGTAACAGGTAACATCGTCTGTGGATAACAGGTAACGCTCGTCTGTGTTTGGCAAGTAACACTCGTATGTGGGTAACATGTAACACTCGTCTGTGGGTAACATGTAACACTCGTCTGTGGGTAACAGGTAACACTCATCTGTGTAAAGCAGGTAACACTCGTCTGTGGGTAACATGTAACATCGTCTGTGGGTAACATGTAACACTCGTCTGTGGGTAACAGGTAACACTGGTCTGTGTGAAGCGGGTAACACTGGTCTGTGTGAAGCAGGTAACACTGGTCTGTGTGTGGCAGGTAACACTCGTCAGTGGGTAACAGGTAACACTCGTCTGTGGGTAACAGGTAACACTCCTCTGTGTGTAGCAGGTAACACTCATCTGTATGTGGCATGTAACACTCATCTCTGTGAAGCATCTAACCCTCGTCTGTGTGTGGCAGTTAACATTCTTTCGTCTGTGGCAGGTAACACTGGTCTGTGGGTAACAGGTAACACTTGTCTGTGGGTAACAGGTAACACTGGTCTGTGTGAAGCAGGTAACACTCGGATGTGTGAAGCAGGTAACACTGGTCTGTGTGAAGCAGGTAACACTCGTCTGTGTGGAAGCAGGTAACACTGGTCTGTGTGAAGCAGGTAACACTGGTCTGTGTGAAGCAGGTAACACTGGTCTGTGTGAAGCAGGTAACACTGGTCTGTGTCTGTCTGTGTGTAGCAGGTAACACTCGTCTGTGTGAAGCAGGTAACACTGGTCTGTGTGAAGCAGGTAACACTCGTCTGTGTGAAGCAGGTAACACTGGTCTGTGTGAAGCAGGTAACACTGGTCTGTGTGGAGCAGGTAACACTTGTCTGTGTGAAGCAGGTAACACTGGTCTGTGTGGAGCAGGTAACACTCGTCTGTGTGAAGCAGGTAACACTCGACTGTGTGAAGCAGGTAACACTCGACTGTGTGAAGCAGGTAACACTGGTCTGTGTGGAGCAGGTAACACTTGTCTGTGTGAAGCAGGTAACACTGGTCTGTGTGGAGCAGGTAACACTCGTCTGTGTGAAGCAGGTAACACTCGACTGTGTGAAGCAGGTAACACTCGTCTGTGTGAAGCAGGTAACACTGGTCTGTGTGGAGCAGGTAACACTCGTCTGTGTGAAGCAGGTAACACTCGTCTGTGTGAAGCAGGTAACACTTGTCTGTGTGAAGCAGGTAACACTGGTCTGTGTGAAGCAGGTAACACTGGTCTGTGTGAAGCAGGTAACACTCGTCTGTGTGAAGCAGGTAACACTGAAGCAGGTAACACTTGTCTGTGTGAAGCAGGTAACACTGGTCTGTGTAAAGCAGGTAACACTGGTCTGTGTGAAGCAGGTAACACTTGTCTGTGTGTAAAGCAGGTAAC